GGCTTGATTTTTAGTAATCTTTTCCTGTTAAATCAATAAATCAAATCAAATCAATTAGTGTAGTAAAATGTAGGATGGTTGTTCATTAGTTCCTGCTCACATCAGACCGTAAAGCTTTAGAATGAAAATAACTGCTGTTTGTTCTGTCTCCTCACAGATTTATTCTGGCTCGTAAGTGCAGGAAGCTGTCAGACCTGACCAAAGAAGAAAGGTTAGAGAAGATAAAAGATGTGATAAATTCACTGTGACCAGCTACAGCTGCTTCAGTCTAAACTCTTGTGTTGTTGTGTCTCTAGGCTGAAGAGGATCTGTGAGATTTACTCCAGAGTGCTGGGCTCAGAGGAGGCTCTGCATGTGAGTCTGCTTACACACAAACAGCTGCAACACAACAGCCAGGCTGATTCAGAAAAATGCAAAAGTAAAATGTGAAGCTATAGGAATTGTTGTTTGAGTTGATGTTTTTATGTTTTGTAAATGATGTTTTGTTTGAATATATTCTGGGGATAAAAGGGGCAGACATAAGATTTATTCTTCTTCTGCTACCWTTCATTTTATTCTGTTTTGTGTATTTTCTTTGTTTTTTATTGTATATAGTTATGTTTAAAAAATGAAATGAATAAATGTWTTGAACTGAATCATTTGAACYATGTTTGTCTTGCAGCCTGTGCACTACGAGGAGAAGAACTGGTGTGAGGAAGAGTACTCTGGAGGCTGCTACACAGCCTATTTCCCCCCAGGGATCCTGACCCAGTTTGGCAGGTAAATCCCCTCACTGGATGTTGTTGGTGCCACTGCCTTAAAGGTGAAGGTGCTGCAGTAATATGCTTACCTGTGTGTATCTGTGTTTTTGTTACCTTTTTAATACATTTTCTAGTATGCACACCAGTACACGTTTTAAGGATAAAAGCCTGGACAGAATACAGTGGAATGCCATTTTTGAGTTAGGGTTAGTGTTGGACAACAGATATGACTGGAAGTCAGTACACGGTCCTAACAAGGATAGAAATATAAACAGGTGTGTCCCTGTATGCAACCAAACTATTCCATGCACCACTGGGCATGTTAAATGAACTTCTATAAAAATATTGTTTGGTAAAAATGCACAACTGTTAACTAAGTGACACCAACAACACAAGAATAAGTCATTTCTACAGACACTGTGGTGAAATATGATCCGATGGAAGCTGAGCATCCCTCCCACTGAACGAGATCACCACATGTCAAGAGTCATCTTTAAAATCACTTTTAAAGAAAATATTTCAGTTTAGTTGTGCAACATAACCTCAGGGTTTAGAGGTCACTTCCTGCTAAGCTTCCCACCCCTTAGTGTGACCCCCTCTCATAGTGCATTTGATCACACATAACAGTATTTTTAAGGTTTAATTGGCTACAACTCTGTCATTTCTGAACATGAGATGAGACAAGTGGCAGGTGAATGTCAGACCTTTAATTGTTGTGTAAATAAATGTGGTTTTCTTTGACTTTTCAGTTTTTTTCTCTCCCATTTACAGAAATAACATGAACTGCATGTTTAAAAAGCTGTAAACAAATGTTGCTTTGGGCTTGTTTTAGCTTCACCCATCCAACACTTTAATGTTCTGTGTGTCACAGAAACATTGTAAATATAACTGAACAAAGCAGCTAGAGTTAAACATTTAAGCTTGATTTGTTTTATCTTTATTTTGTTGTGAGTTGAGTTTTCTGCTGAACTGTTTTTCAAAAGCAGAGATGTTTCCAGGAAGTGTTCAGAGGCTCGTCGGAAGACAGTCTTTGAATGGCACAAGGACAAGCCATGATATTACACTGGGTACTTCAAAAAAAAGTCGTAAATAGCAG